TTTTTTTTTTTTTAATTTCAGACCGCTTCGTTATAGGAGTATATGTCCATAATTTTATTACTATATGTTAATAACTGTACATTCATAACTCCATAACTGTACGTTCATAACTCTATAACTGTACATTCATAACTCCATAACTGTACATTCATAACTCCATAACTGTACATTCATAACTCCATAATTGTACATTCATAATTTTCGAAGCTCTATGTTCACAATTTTAGAGCTCTATGTTCATAATTTTATCACTATATGTTCATAATTGTAAGTTCATAATGTCAAAGCTCTTTGTTCATAATTCGATCAATAACTGTACATTCATAATTCCATAACTGTAGATTCATAATCTCATAACTGTAGATTCATAACTGCATAACTGTAGATTCATAACTCTATAACTGTACATTCATAACTTCATAACTGTACATTCATAATCTTCGAAGCTCTATATTCACAATTTTAAAGCTCCATGGTCATAATTTTATCACTATATGTTCATAATTGTAAGTTCATAATGTTAGAGCTCTGTGTTCATAATTTCATAATTGCATAACTGTACATTCATAACGGCATAACTGTACATTCATAATCTAAAAAAAAATAACGCCGTTAACGGCAAAACGCACGCGAAATTTTTTTTTTTATAACTAAATGACGCGTTTTTTTTTTAAAAAAACGACGTCGTTTTGGGCCCATGTCCACAATTCAGTGTGGACACGGGTCCAGGACATAATTTGCCCACAATGTCAAACATGTATCGCATGACATAATACCCACACTCAACACCTCCCGGTTGTATCAGGCACTACAAAATACATATATATTTTAGTAATTTAAACAATTTATTGTAATTCAAAATATTGTTACAAAATAATCTTACAAAAAGATTATTTCTTGAAAAAATAACAATCACAAAAACAAAAGGTTTAGATTGTTAGTACGAGTCGTGTCATACTCACACTATCCTTAAAACTTTATTTTCTACCTCTCAAAGGTGCTAGAAACGTTGTAGCCTAGGTTTTTCAGGATAAAACGCACTATAACTCAATGTTTGAGCACTCAAACAAATGAGCCCGGCGAACTAGAACACGGGATGAACACAGGAGGTTTGAGAAGGAAGATGAGCAGAGTTTCGAGAGGAAGAAAGCCAATAATTTTGGTGTGTAAAGTCATCTACTCAACCACAACTTATATAGGAATTGATGGAATAAATAACATTTAACCATGTCATTAAAAGAGATAATAAAATTAGTCATGGTAACATCCATAACAGACAACCATTAACCTGGAGATTAATTCTAAAATTTAAAATTTGAATTAATATGAAATTAATTTCGTAACATCATAATTAATGCTCTAAAAAAAAAGAGAGAACAATTCGGACAAAAACAAGGATCTATTTAGAGAAACGCGCCATTTTCCCATTGACTGGAACCCACAAAAAATTGTGATTTGCAAGACAAAAAAACTCCATTAAAAAGAAAAAAAAAAAAAAAAAAAAAAACACCCCAATCTATGCAAAAATTCTATCTTAATTTTTCTCCTACAAAAACTCCACAAGAAATTACTAATGTCGATGCTCTTAAGTTTTGTTTGGTTGGAGATTTTTGTACCCTACTTGGGATTTGATTTTCATCACCATTTCAGTTTTTAATATTTGAACCAAACGCACTCTTAAATTTAATGTTTATTAAATGGATATTTAAATGAAAGATCAAATTTGAAATAAAATTAATTAATAGTCAAAGGACCGTTTATGGTTAAATTGAAAGTCGATATTGAAAATTAATTAGTAAATGTCAACAGTCAATGAACCGTACGTTATGATCCAATTAAAAATCAATAATAAAAATAGTAAATGTCAATATTCAATGGACTATTTCTAAAATTAACTTTACTTTTATTTATATGTCCCTATGATATAAATGTAAAATGTGTGAGCAATTTTTTTTTTTTTTGAAAATCAACCAATGCGGAATTTATTAGAGATATAAGCTGAAATAGAGTCAGGAGGGACAGAGTCCCTATACATAGTAGTAGCCTGATCAAATGCCGTAGAAGTTAAAGAATGAGCTAAATAATTCTGCGATCTAGGAATAAACTTGATTAAACAGTAATCGAAAGATGATATGTAAGATCTGCGGCTATCAATAGCATAACCGATATATGAACAAACTTGATCAGTTGCGAATGATAGATAATACTAAAGCGTTTGACAATCCGTGAGTAGCTCTATAGATCGCTCTCCGAGCAAACTGGATCAGTTGCGAATGATAGATAATGCTAAAGCATTTGACAATTCGTGAGTAGCTCTATAAATCGCTCTCCGCGATCCCTTAACCATGTAAAAAGTGTGAGCACATATAATAACTCAATCTCCTATTCTATTTACATGTGCGCATAATATAAATGTGTTAGGCTGTTAGCACATATAATAATTGAATCTCCTATTTTATTTATAATGACTCTATCTCATCGTTACATTAATTTATTTTTTTTAAAAGCAAAAATATATTGTATTACTCAAATATTAAATAACAATTGATTCTTCCAGAATTATTATTCTTATCATATTTATTGTTCTATATCAACATACCTAAAAGATCCATGTCTCCCAACCCAACCACCACCGCTACTGCCGATGACACTGTGCCGCCACCAACCACCGGTGACTCAGTGTCCTGTTCTCATACCCTCTCCGACATATCCTCCACCCCTCCATCATCCATAAATACCCCTACAGATAGTCTATCACATTGTATCCATAAAACTTACATTGTCTAATTATTTATTCTGGAAGACCCATCTCGTTCCGTTTTTTCACGGGCAAAATCTCAGTGGTTACATAGATGACACATTCCCGTGTCTAGCTTCTTTTATTAAGGCTCCAAATGAATTTTCCGTAGTAGCCAATCCTGAGGCTCAAAATTGGGTACGTCAGGATGCATCTATTTTGTCCATACTCATCTTGTCTCTATTCGATGAGGTTATGTATAGTGTTGTGGGTCATACCACGTCTCTGGTCATGTGGTCAGCTATTGAAGTTGCCTATGGGTCTTCCTCCCGGGCATTTTCTTTGAGTCTCCTTAGTCAGTTGTAGTCTTTGTGTCAGGGAGACTCCACAACGAGTAAGTATCTTGGCAAAGTCAAAGTTTAAATTGGACTACTTGTAAAAACCGGCCAAACAATTGGATTAGATGAACAGAATCTCTATTTGTTCAAGGGCTTCCGACTTGAGTATCGCGCGATGGTTTCATCGTTGACTACCAAGGAACCTGTCACCATTGATCAACTCAATGATTACCTCACTACACATCAGTTTATCTATGCCAATGATGTCTCTTTAGCTGCTCCTCTAGCCCAGCCGTCAGTACTTGTTGCACAACGAGGACCAACCACTGCCTCTCCGCAACAATAGAATTTTACTCATTGTCGTTGTCGAGAACGTGGCAATAAAGGAGGCTGAGGTCGTGTACGCGGTCGGGGTTATGTTCCAAAGTGTCAGATTGATCTGAAACAATCTTGGCCATACTGCTCTACAGTGTTACCATAGATACTCAGGTGCTCCCATTCCTCAGGAAAATTTGACCTATGCAAATGCTCTAGCCGCCGTTTTGTTTTCTCGTAACTGGCTTCCTGACACCAAGCTACACGTCATGCCACTCTAGACTCCTATTCATTGCAAAAAAGTGAAAACGTACACCGGCAATGACACTCTTCAAGTCAGTAATGGTACATGTGTAAATATTTCTAGTATTGGAAACACTTCTATATCCTCTATCTTGCGTTCCCTGCAATTACAAAATGTTTTACATGTTCCAAAACTCACTAATTTTCTCCTGTATGTCAAACGTTTTGCCACTGATAATAACGTTTTCTTTGAGTTTCATCTGTCAATTTTTTGTTGTGAAGGACCTCACCACCAATCACGTTCTATTTAGAGGAGAGAGTTCAAGGGGACTATACAAACTTCCAAAGAGTGGCACGTGGGTTCTCAGATTTATTGTTCTCATCTTATTTACATGTACCTTTTTTTAATAGGGGTGGGTATTTCGGTTCGGATTATTCAAATAAAGTCAAATCGAACGGTTAGGTTTTACTTTAGAGTTAATACCCAAAATCGTCCTCGACTATAGTGGTTTTTCTCAATTTTGTCCTAAACGACTTTGGTGACCTAATATCGTCCCAGACTTTTGTGTTTCGCTCAATTTAGTCCCAGACTTTTGTGTTTTTGCTCAATTTAGTCCTTCATTTGTTATTTTGTCCATTTGGTGTTAAATAAATAGACAATTCAGTAATTTTAATATTGGCATCTCTTTACTTATAGACATGTGAATTGCGAAATCACTTGTGGAAACAGCAAGTGATGAGCAGTAGAAAGCGAGGTGACAATTGGGCTAGCGAAAGATTTGATGGCGGCATCGGACACAGTCCGTTCTTAGCAATTAACAGATCCGTCAGCCATTGGAATAAAGGGAAAAAAAAAACCTAGATTAACTGATACCAGATGAGAACCGAAGGAAACTATATTAGATGAACAGTGATTACAACTGTACAGACAGGGAGAATATATACAAGAGGAATCATAGGGAGACTAGCTACAAGAATCCTAATACTAGTCCTAATACACTAAATCGAAACGCCACCCCTTTTTGAATACTAATAAAAATGGAAAATATTATGTATACTCTCATTTTTTATTCTCAATTTTTACTTTCATACACAAAACCTTGATGTATACATTTGTATAGAGACTCACATAAAAAAAAAAAAAAAATATATATATATATATATATATATATATTATCAATATCTATCGTATCAAGAGTAAAATTTAAGTAGTAAGATTTGAAAATCCACATAGATCGAACTCATAAAAAATTGGAAGTAGGAAAATATCAAGGTAGGCTTATCCTTGATATGTGGTAGCTTTTTTTGAAGACGTCTATATATGTGGGAGCTAGAAGCTAGCGAAGCCTAAGGGAGATTATATTCAGTGCAAATACAATACTTGTTTGGAAATGGAAAAAAGTAGGGTTCTTGTTGTGGGTGGCACTGGGTATATTGGGAAGAGAATAGTGAAGGCGAGCTTAGCCGAAGGCCACCCCACATATGTCCTCCAGCGCCGCGAGATCGGTTCCACTTCCGACATCGACAAACTCCAAATGTTGTTGTCGTTGAAGGAGCAAGGAGCTCGCTTAGTGGAGGCCTCCTTTGACGACCACCGGAGCCTTGTGGACGCTGTCAAACAAGTGGACGTCGTCATATGCACCATGTCGGGAGTGCACTTCCGCACTCACAACATTCTCCTGCAGCTCAAGCTGGTTGACGCCATTAAAGAAGCTGGGAATATCAAGGTTCCTTATTATATTATTTCACATTATTAGAGTAATTATTATTTATTTCTTACCTGCAAAAACTCCAAAAAAATCCACAAATAATATTGCTCTAGAAATAATTTTTTTGGAGTTTTTGCAGGGGCAGACTTACGGGGCAGCTGCCCCCTCCCCCCATTCCACCCCTTTTATATATATATATATATATATATATATATATATATATATATATATATAAAATGTTTGAATTGTTTAGTTTGTTAGAATTCTAAACTTGATGTTAAATAGCTTATGTCACAAATTTGAATCTCATTAGCACTACTTGTCTTTAGTTTTTATCTTTTATTTTACCTCTTTCATCCCTTCACAAAACTAATTAAATGTATTTTTAGTCTATCTTTTATGAATCATTTAATTAACAAATTAAATATTCTTTTAGTCTTCTTTTTATGAATCATTTAATTAATGTACTTTACAAGTTTATAGAGTTAATACCCAAAATCGTCCTCGACTATAGTGGTTTTTCTCAATTTCGTCCTAAACGACTTTGGTGACCTAATATCGTCCCACACTTTTGTGTTTCGCTCAATTTAGTCCTCCATTTGTTATTCCGTCAAATTGGTGTTAAATAAAGGGACAATTCAGTATGTCAATATTGATCTCTCTTTACTTTCAACTTGTGAAGTGCGAAATTCCTCTTTCTTGTACGAATTACACCCAGAGTTACTCCCGGACTTGCAAATCAAATTTTATATTCGCAGTTTTAGGAGTAATTCTGGGAGTAATTCGTAAAAAAAAAAAAAAAAAAAAAAAAGATTTCGCAGTTCACATGTCTATGAGTAAAGAGATGCCAATATTAAAATTACTGAATTGTCTATTTATTTAACACCAAATGGACAGAATAACAAATGAAGGACTAAATTGAGCAAAAACACAAAAGTCTAGGACTAAATTGAGCGAAACACAAAAGTCTGGGACGATATTAGGTCACCAAAGTCGTTTAGGACGAAATTGAGAAAAACCACTATAGTCGAGGACGATTTTGAGTATTAACTCCAAGTTTATATTATACTTCATCGTATTCGAATCTTAAAGTTGATCTAACTAAAAGAAATTAAAATTAAAAAGTATATATGAATATAGTGTCTTTTCTATTGAAATTATTTTATGTAATTGATTATGTTTCATATATATTTTGTCATAAAGCCCCCACCCCCATCTATGCAAAAATTCTATCTTAATTTTTCTCCTACAAAAACTCACCAATGTCGATGCTCTTAGGTTTTGTTTGGTTGAAGATTTTTGTACCCTACTAAGGGATTCAATACTAATTACCATATTTGTTTGTCCACATTACTACCAACCAAAGAGATTCTTTCTACTTAAATTCATTATTATTATTAGAGCATCTCCAAGGAGACGCCATATCACCAAATAGCCCAAAAATTTGGCGTAAATGACAAATAACAGGCTCCAATGGGACGGCAAAATGCCAAAAAATTTGTTGTTGATGAACAGTGCTGCACGACACTGTTCATCCACGGCATTTTCTTAAAACATTTTTAATTCCTGTTTTGCCCATGCTTTCATTTGTTAATTCCTTTTATATCATTTATTTTGTTTTTTTTTTTTGTGTTTACATATTTTGTTAAATACTTAAACATAAATATTATATTATTATAAATAAATTATATCATTTGAAAGATCTCATCAAGACGATTAAAACAAGACTAATATTGAATATAGATTAATTAAAAATTAAAATAAATGAAACATAACAACAACATAAAAATGTTGTTACTAAAAATTTATTATTTACATCACAAATTAAATTTTATATTAAACTAATTAAATTCGAACTAATAAAAATTGAACAAATTTCACTTTTAGTCATCAATTATTATAAAATTGTCACATATTCTACTCCTTCAATTTTGTCATATATATTACATCCTCCTCAACTTTTATATGAGAGATAAAGAAATTACATATTGAAAATTGATCAAATTGAAAAAAAAAATAATTAAATATGGCAAACATGCCCATTCACTCTGTTTTCAGTTTCTTGTTTTCTTTCTTCTCCCAAAAAGTTGAATTTCCTATCCCAAGTGACAAGTGCTCCCACGTCCAATAGAGCATGTGACAAGATATAAATTATCGTAACTCAGTGGCTCAACAGACATGGCTATGCTCAATTTTTTTAATTTTTTTTTTTAAGAATCCACCAATGCATCCTTCTTTTTAAAACAGTTACGAACATTAAAGTCAGTCTCATTTGTTCATTTTTGTACTAGTGCAGCGTTTCCTGCCGTCGGAATTCGGCATGGACCCAGCAAGAATGGGAAATGCCATGGAAGCAGGAACTCCAGGTAGGGCTACATTTGAAGAGAAGATGGAAATAAGGAAGGCCATTGAAGAAGCAAATATTCCCCACACTTATATTTCAGCTAATTGCTTTGCTGGTTACTTTTGTGGTAACCTTTCTCAACTTGGCACTCTTCTTCCTCCCAAACACACAGCTTACATATACGGGACTGGCAATGTCAAAGGTCGTATGTACAAACCATACCATATATCACTACTAGAAATTATGGAATTTCCGACCACCTGAAAGTGATCTTAAATCAAGTCGAAAGCCTTGTTCCGACCACTTTTGGTATCCGGAAAAACCTTTGTGGCTATTTTCGACCACTTTTTGGTATCAATTTGATTCAAGATCACTTTCAGGTGGTCGAAAATTCCATAATTTCCAGTAGTGTATATAACTTTCTTTTAATTTTCATTCTGATCTTAATTTTCTTTTCATTTCTATCCATCTAATTTAATTGATGCATACTATATATACATACAGTGATATATATGGACGAAGATGATGTGGCAGCATACACAGTGAAGTGTATAGATGATCCCAGGACCTTGAACAAGACAGTATACTTAAGGCCACCACAAAACATCTTAACTCAAAGAGAGTTGATTGCTAAATGGGAAAACTTAAAAGGAATAGAGCTTGAGAAGATCACGGTTACTGGTGATGAATTCTTGGCTTCCATGAAAGGTATGTAAGACTCTTCTATCTCATTTTATAATGTCTTATTCGGGTAATAAAGCCACTTTGATAACCGGTTGACCTATTTGACACCTTTTTTTTTTTTTTAATGAGTGGCTAAAGTTTAAGTGATCTATTAATCATTAAAATGGTAACATGCAGATATGGAGTATGTTGGTAAAGTAGGAGTGATATTTTACTACCACATTTTCTATGAGGGTTGTTTGACAAACTTTGAGATAGGAGACGATGGAGAAGAAGCTTCGCAACTTTACCCAGAAGTTCACTACACTCGAATGGATGAATACTTGAAACGCTATCTCTAATAAATACAACACTAATCAACGGTGGACTTATAAGTTATATAGTATCCATCAACGGTGACTACAACATGATATGTAACACCCTTAATAATTGTGATGAGTCTAGAATCCGTGACCTTCCGTATGAAAGGGCCACAACGATGTCATTAAACTACAAGATACGTGTCATTCCACAAATCTTTATTCATAAGGCCTGTTGAGTTTTTCATAAGTATGTATGCCACCCGTGCAATGCACGGACTATATTTTATTCTAAGTTAATAATTGTAATTGTTATAACATTATATTTACAAAGACATGATAAAAAGTATATGATTTATATTGTAATATAAAATATTATTGATAGATAATAGTGTTTTATATGTAATATTACGCATCAACGAAATAATATGATTGCCATTTAATAATAGAAAGAGTGTAATTACAGATTATTAAAAACTTATTTGTAAACCATTTGTGGAAATATAATCGTTATCAGTTTTATCATAAATTAATATCTTCAACCCATTGAGATTTGTAACTCTAGACTTTCTTAAACAAAAAGGTATGCTAAAATCATATAATATAACACTTAGAATACAACATGAAAACTAAAAAGTCTACTTCAATTATATGATATTATATAATTTTGTTAGTCCATAAACAATGTAATTTTTAATGTGAGGATAAAAACAATTAAAATAACAAAATGATTAGATAAATATAATTAAATTATATATATATATATATATATATATATATATATATATACCTATTGCATTCGGCCGATATATTTACTATCTACTATACTGATAAGAGCCAAAGAGAGTTAAACTTATAATGGGTAGAAAAAATGGCGGTTAAATTTTTTAATCAAGTGAATGACTCAGATTTTAATTCATCAATTGATTATATTCGCTACATTGTCCCTACAATATCTTTATTCAAAAAAAAAAAAATGAGTAAAAGATATTTTTGGTTCTAGACTTATAGTGGCACGGACAATATTTGTCCTCCATAAAATTTTTTGCCATGGACAGACTTATTGTGACAAGGACATTTTTGGTCCTCATCAGTCTGTAATTTTGTTAAATAGCCATCTGAAGAGGAGTGCAATTCAGTCAATTCAACCTATCTCCTACAACGGCTGCGGTTTTTCCTCCTTCTCCGGGGATGATGATACCTTTCTTCTACAATAAGACGGAGATTTAGCATCATTGAGTTCTTCTTCCTGCTTATATTTGAAAGATTTGAATCAACCACAATATTTTCACATACTGATTTAGTGCTCAAGGATTTCATCATTGAGCAGCTAAGAACTCTGTTGAAAATATGTTGTAGGAGTAACCAGAACTCATACTTACTCCTAACAACGAGCAGAACCAAACAGTGCCTGAACCAAATTCTGAATGTGGAAAAATACCTACTGGTGGAACTGATGATTGGAAAATTGATTCACAGCTTTTGAAATTTGAAAACAAAATTGCATATGGAACTTTTGGAGATTTGTAAGTTACATATGATCCTTATACTGAGTTTCAGTTGTGGTTGCACTCCTTGTTGGTCATATCATAAATCTTTTCAGGTATAAAGGTACATATTGTAGTCAATAGGTGGCTATAAAAGTCCTAAAGCCAGAAAACTTGCATGCGGACATGTTGAAAGAGTTCACTCAGGAAGTCTACATCATGAGGTCTGCTAAGTCGCCGAGGTCATGTCATTAAATCTACTCAGATTCCGTCCGGTCAACCGTCGCTCCGCCTTCGATCTATGCTCCCCTTCCGTCAATGCCACCACCGCTTTGGTAACAGCCAGATTCCCTACGGGGATGATATGATTTTCTCCTCTCCAGAAACTAAAAACCTCGTCTGAAATCAAGAACAAAACATGCATGGATGAAATATAGAGAAGGAGATAACATGAAATGATGCAATTACCCTTCACTTACATGGTCATTTAACGGATATATAGAAGGAGGACAAAAAATGTCCCTCACAATAAGTTTGTCCTTAAAATGATAAAATTTTTTAAGGAGGACCAAAATTATCCGTGCCAATATAAGTCTAGGACCAAAAATGTCTTTTACTCAAAAAAAATATTCATTATCAATAAATTAATTAAGAGAAATAATTTCATTAGTTATATTGTCTTTTACTCAAAAATTCAGGTTCGATTCTCGGCAATAGCATTATTGTGGATATATAGTTATGAATTTCTGGATATATAGTTATGAATTTATGGATATTCAGTTCATTCATTGTGGATATTTAGTTCATTCATTGTAGATATTTACTTCATTCATTCACTGTGGATATATAGTTATGAATTTATGGATATATAGTTATGAATTTTTGGATATATAGTTATGAATTTCTGGATATATAATTATGAATTTATGGATATTTAGTTCATTCATTGTGGATATTTAGTTCAATCATTGTGGATATTTAGTTCATTCATTGTGGATAGTTAGTTTATTCATTGTGGATTTTTACTTCATTCATTCACTGTGGATATATAGTTATGAATTTGTGGATATATAGTTATGAATTTATGGATATATAAAAATGCTATTGCCGAAAATCGAACCTGATTTCTTTTTTAAGTGGGACCCGCGTTTTTTTAACCAAAACGACGTCGTTTTGCATCATATGCACCATGCCCATGATGCATTCGGTTGCACAGCATAATTTGCGGTCTGCCAACTCGCCATACCACATGTTGAGTTTGAGAATGGGTCGATTCCATTTTTGGCCAAACTCGGGTCGAACTAGCTTATTTTGTTAGTTTTACAAATTGAATATTATATGAATCATTGTCCACATAACTATGCAGACTATAAATTTAAAAAAAAAAATACATTTTTAATATACTAAAATTACGTAATTTGAAAATATATTATTGAGTATTGAAAATACATTATTTTATATATTACATTCTCAAACTATAAAATAGTGTATTTTCAATACTAAAATAATAGTACACTATTTTATAGATTACATTTTCAAATAATGTATATTCAGAACAAAAGTAATGTATTTTTAATATATTAAAATTGTAGCTTGGTGAGCATGTTGTATAAAAAAATTTGCCAATATTTACAAAGCACTCCTTTAACCTGAGAAAATTTCACCAATCACCATCTCAGTTATGGAGGGCTCACGCGAACCCAACACCTCTAAACTTTCCTCCGACGGCCCCCCCGACCACGATCTCTACACCATCCCCAGTTACACCAGTAAGACCTCATTCTCGCTTTCTCTCTACATGTAATGTATGCATATATATGTATGTATGAAACCCTAATTTGGATCTTTTCTTGAGGTTGGTTTTCGTGGAATAACATCCACGAAGTAGAGAGGCTGTCACTGGGAGAGTTCTTCGATGGGAGCTCAATCACCAGGACGCCCCGGATATACAAGGAGTACAGGGACTTTATGATCTCCAAGTACCGGGAGGATACGACCCGGAAGCTCACATTCACGGAGGTGCGGAAGTCTCTGGTGGGCGACATCTGCGTGCTCCAGAAGGTCTTCACCTTCCTCGAGAAGTGGGGGCTCGTCAATTTCGATCCTAGTAAGCCGGAGCCTGTTCAGGCCGGGGCGGAAGCGGAGGAGGAAGAGGATGGGAAGTGGAGGGTTAGGGTTGAGGAAGGGGCTCCTCATGGGGTGAGGGTCATTGCCGCGCCTAATTCGCTCAAGCCCCTTGCTCCGCTCCCGCCGCCGCCTTCGTTGGGCGTTGCCGGTGAGGCGGCGGAGAGTGGGCTCAAGATGCCGCCGCTGTCGTCGTACTCCGATGTTTATGCGGAGTTATTGGAGCAGCAGAAGAGGGAGATTTTGGTGTGTGGCAACTGCAAAGAGTCGTGTACCTCTGGGCACTACGAATATAGCAAGGTGCTTTATGAATTTCTTTGCTTTTCCTGTTTTGATTGTCTTAAAATGAGCTTACTAGTGATCTTGCTTTGTGACTGCACGCTTGTGTATGTATTGTATGCATAAATTGACTTGTGTTGAAAAAAATTAATAGAGAATTGGTTAACATGGTTGCAGTAGGCGCTAGTCGGGCAGTAGACTAGCGCCTAGGCGGCTAACTAAAAGAAAAGAAAGCAGTGCACGTGTGTAGGTGTATATATATGTCATATATATATTGAAAAAAATTAGCAAGGTCGAGCCGATCAGGTTAACTTGGCTAACTCGATTGAAATGGACGAGTAAACTCGGCCGAATTCGGTCGAGTAAGGAAAAAATTAGCAAGGCCGAGCCGACCATGTTAATTTGGCTAACTCGATCGAAATGGACGAGTAAACTCGGCCAAATTCGGTCGAGTTAGGCGTTAGGCGGCGACCTAGGCAGGCGCCTAGGAGGGAAATTGCCACGGTCTAGGGGCGCCTAGACCGATTTTTGCTGGTTAATAGGAAAAATGAAGAAGAAAAGGAAGAGCAAGAGAGAGAGACGGGGATGGGGATGTTAAAGTATTTAGTTATGTTTTAAATGGAGACCATAGATAATGGATAAAACCTCAAGTAATTGTATCTGTTTTTATTCATTTTTGTTAATTGTTGGTTTAACATCAGGAAGGGAGCTTTATCTTATGTGAAAAGTGCTTCAAAGATGGTAATTTCGATAAGGAGAAGTCTGCAGATGACTTTAAGTTCATTGAAAGTGGCAACCACCAGGTTGTATGGACCGAAGCGGAAACTTTACTCCTATTTGAGTCTGTACTGAAGCATGGAGATGACTGGGATCTCGTTGCCCAAAATGTGAAAACAAAGAACAAACTTGAATGTATCTCAAAGCTTATACAGCTTCCGTTTGGTGATCTTATGCTGGGATCTGCCCATAGAAAGAATAGATTTTGTGATACAAATGGTGATGTAAATGGTTTGAAACAAGCACAGCCTGCTTCAAGTGAGCCCCAAGCAACTATGACAACAGAGCATCAATCCAATGACTGTAAGAATGAGCAACAGAATGGAGATAATGAAAACCAAGAACCACCTACAAAGAGAAGATGCAGTGTGCCAATTTCAGGACCTAGCAGTTCTTTAATGAAACAGGTAAACTAGCTCTTCATTTATCTTGTGCTTTGTTTGGTTCTATATTGTATGTAAATTCAGAATCTCAACTTCTACTAGTTCAATGTTAAATCTTTTGTTTTGGTCAAAGATATGTTCCATTTCCTTATAGAACATTAGAAAGATGTAATGATCTAAAGAAAATAGAATCAAGATTCTATTTTAGTGGACATTGTAAAAGCTTGCATAGGAGTCATAGGACTGGGTTTTCTTACTTTTTCATGGGCACATTCAAGCTTGCATAGGACTAAGTATTTATAAAGAGCATGATGAAGCAGCCTTGAAGGGGTTTTAGTGTATGAACTGGGATAAGGGACATTTTTTGAACTTGTGTAAATTGTAAAGATGGTTATTTTGAATGTTTACCTGCCTCCACCAATTCTTCTACCTGTGTGCTCTTCATTGATGAGATAACTACTCTCAGGTAGCACACATCTCTACTGTTGTTGGTCCATGGGTTACTTCTTCTGCAACTGAGGCAGCTGTTACAGCACTTTGCTATGAAAACCAGTGTTCTAGGGAGATTTTTGATGACAGTGATAGTTTTGGGGATGAGTTGGAATCTTCCCTTGAAAATAATGAGCAAGAAAGGTAAATTATGTTTCTTTGAGTCTTTATGCTGTTCAATGTATTCCTTGTGAAATAACTTGATATTGAATTTGACTGATGTATTATTGTTGGGTTTTGCATGTATAAACGTATAATATCTTTTATTTGTTTCATTCATTTGTAGGTTTTTTTTTTTTTTTTTTTTTTTGAGTTGGGAGACAGAAGACTTCTAAGCTTGAATAATAAATGAATTTGACCTTTTTCAAAACTCTGCTTGTTATTGTTTATCTTTAGTTTGTTGGATATTGGGAATGTTTCAAAATGAGGATTTCTCACTTAACTGGATAAAGGTTTATGCATCTTTTGCAAAGTTAATTACATAGATCAAAATTGTTGTGACAAGTTCTTTGTCAGACACTCAAACTAATGCCTTAAAATCACAGCCTACACTGAATGGCATGCAAACATGCTCCACTGCTCCCCTCTTCCTCAGCATGGCTGGCCTGTGGTGACCAAATCACACTTTTCTCGGGTCATATTCTGTTGACTTTAGCCACAACTTGGCTTAGCTTCAATTATTGAATGAGTTAAAATTCTTATATGGGAACTGGCATAGGTGACTTTTCCTTTCATGTAATTCAAATAATACACTTGCCTACTTGCCTTCTTTTGTCATGTGCTTCTCATATTTCCAATTTCAGTTTATAGCCAAAGCTTGCTTAAATTTGATTCAAATGCTTCTTGTTTACAATGGCAGTTATATATTTGTTTTACTATTTTCAAATTTTCATGTAGTAGCTTATAGTGTTTGTGTTTACTGTAATGCTTCATTTGTTTGAATTTCTAATCTCCTTGCCTGAGTTAAAGAAAAATTGGATATGGGTCGTCATAATATTTTAAGGCCTTGATTGTGATAGTGATGCTTCTGTGTTTGGATGTGTACTGAGAAACTCATTCATTTGACAGAGATCCTCTAGCAGAAGGTGGTCAGATAGACAAAATGAGTTCAGGTATTTATAGTGAAAACCGTAACTTCATTTGCTATACTTTTCTAGCGGATCTTCATATTGATGTGTTGTGGATTTTAAACAGTGATTGATGCCCACAGCTCAACTTTGATCCTAGATGCTATATTATTTTTCTCATCCTTCTTTCAATCATTTTCTTTCCAGACACACAGGATAAAAGCTCCCAGAAGAGTAGCATACCTCTGGCGTTGCAAATGAGGGCTGCCACTGCAGCTGCTCTTGGTGGCGCAGCAGCTCATGCCAAATTATTGGCTGATCAGGAACACAGAGAGATGGAATATTTGGTTTCAACTTTAGTCGATACCCAGGTTAGTAACTCTCAGGGGGTGGGAGTTTCTTTTCTTTGCTACTTCCAACACCTGATATATATATGTATAGGGAAGGGTTCAGGTGCGAGTATAGCTTCTCGTGCAGTTGTGCGGTTGACGCACCTTAATGACACATCTTAAGCACACAAACAAAGCACCTTAAGCACACAAACAAAGCACCTTAAGAACACAAACCACGTGAAACCTTAAGAACACAAATCACGCGAAACCTTAAGAACACAAACCACGCGCACCTAAGGTTTTAAAATGGCACGCCTTAAGTTTCAACAACTCACGCACCTTAAGCATACAAATCACGCACCTTATGAAGGAAAACCACGCACCTTAAGCTTCAGGTTGACGCACCTTAAGTTTCAACAACTACTCACCTTAAGCACAAAAATCAAACACCTTAAGTACAAAAATCACGCACCTTAAGCACAAAAATCATGCACCTTAAATTTGACCTAGATGCAAAAATTACCAATGGTTAAGATTTGTCCACAACTCTCACATTGGTGTATATATATATATATATATATATAATTAAGTTCCACTGCGGGTGCATGTTTCTCGTGCGGTTGTGAGGTGAGTAATGTGCGGTGAGTTTTGTACTTAAGGTGCGTTAGTTTGTGCTTAATGCGAGTAGTTGTTGAAACTTAAGATGCGTGTGTTTTTGTGCTTAAGGTGCGTGGGTTTTGTGCTTAAGGTGCGTGAGGGTTATGCTTAAGATGCGTGAGTTTTGTGCTTAAGGTGCGTGAGGGTTATGCTTAAGATGCGTGAGTTTTGTGCTTAAGGTGCGTGGATTTGTGTTCTGAAGGTATTTTGTTTGTGTGCTTAATGTGCGTGTGTTGTAACTTAAAGTGCGTCACAGTTTAATGCTTAATTTGAATCCAATCGCACGGGAAGCCCCTTTCGCACCTGATCCCTTCCGTATATATATCTTTAGCCAATTTTTAATTTTTCTTATGTTTGGCTATATATAGCTTAAGAAGTTGCAGCGAAAAGTGAAACACATGGAAGAACTGGAGCGGATAATGGAAAATCAGCAAAGGCAGATGAAGGAACTAGAGGCCACTATACTGGATGAACGTTTAAACGCGTTGCAAGGAATATTTAGTAGCGGGAGTGCGAAATCTAAGGGCGATGCTTCTACGATTATCAAGTCTCAGAATATTGATGCTGCTGTTTGATACCTTTGTATGTGTTTAGTGTGTGAATGAGAAACAAATGTAAAATTAAGTTGAAAGACAGACACCACTTTACAACCTAACCAATGAAATGTAACATTTTAAAGCTTACACTCTTATCTTATATTTGGTTCAAGTTATCTTTAAAAAAAAAGGTGATGGTAATTTTGTAATTATTGTCAAGTAAAAAAATGGTGGTATTATTATAATTATTATTAATTTTATTGTGTAACTTGTAACAATATAATGTGTATTTATGGATTAAACTAAATTGTAAATGATAAACCTTAGGGAAAATTGTAAAAAATGCATCTCTATAATATGCCAATTATCAATGTCAGGGAATTATGAGTGGTGTAAATGTTGCCCCTTAATTATCAAAATGGTGCACATATAGCCCCTTCCATAATGGACCTATGGTTTCCTACCGCTTTCCATCGCTGGTACTTCGGATCGAGGGAAGGAAAAAACCAACTAAATTACATATTTACTTCGGCTTAACGGTGTCGTACACTAATAGGGAACCACATGTCCGTTACGGGAGGGGCTATCTATATGTGCACCGTTTTGATAATTGAGGGGCAACATTTACACCACTTATAATTCAGGGGTGACATTGATAATTGACATATTATAGAGGGACATTTTTTACAATTTTCCCTAAACCTTAAGTAGTAAAATACTAAAGAGTAAATACCAAAAATGGTCCCTCAACTATAGCTAAATTCACAAATTGATCCCCGACTTTCAATTTTAATCAATTAAGTTCTTAACTTTGCAATTTTAACACGATTTGGTCCTCTGTCTATTTGACCATTTGTTGACCGTGATCTCTGAGGATATATATGTAATTTCACCGCCGTCCGCCCTCATCCGCTGCCGTGACACAGTCTATCGCCCATGTAACACCCCACTTTTCTTAACTCTTCGCTCTGGTACAAACTCAACTACATTGAATCCAAAGAAGGGATGAAGAAAGGCGACAGGATTTGGCAGATTGCTTTCGGCAGTGGGTTCAAATGTAACAGTGCAGTCTGGAAATGCAATCGGAACCTTAAAAAACCGACGATGGACCATGAAATTACATATATATTCTCAAAAATCACAGTCAACAAACGGTCAAATAGACGGAGGACAAAATCGTGTTAAAATTATAAAATTAAGGACTTAATTGGTTAAAATTAACAGTTGAGGACCAATTTGTGAATTTAGCTATAGTCGAGGGACCATTTTGGATATTACTCAATACTAAATTGTGAATCTCTAAACTAAATAAAATTAAAAAATTCCGTCATAAATCTTAAGTGCATTTTGTAAAATGTAATTTATAAAACTAATTATGTACTTTTTAACAACATAATGACCCTGTTTGGTAAATAATTAGCCTATCCATTATTAGTTGTTTTACTTGGTTAAAAAATTAATGAGTGTGATGGATATATTACGACCGGAGCAGACCGATCCGCAGAGGTGGAGCAAGACCCGGGGTCCCGACCCGTGGGGCCTCGGCCCATGGGACCTCGGCCATCATTCAGCCGACCCAGCCTGGAGAGGTCGTCCGGGAGAGGTCGTCCGTGGAGAGGTCGTCCGGGAGAGGTCGTCCGCGGAGAGGTCGTCCTAGAGAGGTCAGCCATGAGCGAGGCCGACCTAGAACCGGTCAAGGAGGCGCGGTCAACGCGGATCTAACCACCCCCCACCTTAGGGAGTGGCGGTTAGGGGTGGGGGTTGTATAAAAACCCCCCACCTTGTCTCTTTAGGACATCTAATCATCTTCTTACACACTCTTTACAGGAACAATTGTTGTAACAACCAATTCTACGGCATTTAATATAATATACGGTCTCACGGCCTTTACGACATTGTTTCGTTTATTTATTTATTATTCATATTCTTATCCGGATTTAGTGATTCGGGTCCACCCCGGGTAATTAAATCCATCAGAGTGTTTGATTAATTAGTTTTTTGTAACAATTTATTGCTCCAAAATGCTAAAATTCAAAAAGCTGCTCAAAGTAATTTTTTCGATTAGCTTTTTGAAAAAGTTATTTTGTATGTAATCAGCTAACATTTAACAGCTAATTTACCAAACACTTTTCTACAATTAGTTAATACTATCAACTAGTCAAATCCACTAACCCAATCAGTTTAGAGCTATCAGTTAACAGCCATTTACCAAACACCTCCAATGTAAATTTATGAAAAATCCTTAGAAGTGCACAATATAGTTAGGGGTGTCAAGGTGGGCCGAATCCCGCGGGCCAGTCCTAAACTGCCCCTCGGTGGGGCGGGTTAATGCTTTTAGATTTTTTTGCCTGCGAAAATGCGGGCCTTGCGAACTTGACAGGTTAGCTAGTGTGGGCCGCAAGATAGCCCACAGACTTTTCAAAAAAAAAAAAAAAATATAATATATATATATATATATATATATATATATATATATATATATATATATATATATATATACACGCGCGCACACACACAACATTAAAATCTTAAAAAATGTAAAATTTTAAATTTTTTAACACAACAAAATTTAATACTCCATATTATTTAGATTAAATTATTTAAATATAAACTAATAATATAATATTTTTTTAATTTTTGAAGTTAGGTCCGTGAGCCCGCATGAGGCGGATTAGGATTGCATAATTCTAGCCGCGGACTTCGCGGGTCGACCCTCAAAGGCACGAGAAAAAAAGCTCGTAGTGGTCCGGGTCGACCCGCATTGACACTCTTAAGTATAGTGTTAAAACAATAGTTATTGCATGGACCGTGGTCCACACAACTGTGTGGATTACAATCCAAAAACGACGTTGTTTCGCGTATTTTATTTTTCACGCGACTCACTACAACATACATTTTTATAAATCATAATGTACATTATTCTTAAGCATAATATACATTATTCTAACTCATAAAGTATATTATTTTGCCATAAAATTTTCATTATTTTAACATATAATGTGCATTATTCTAACACATAAAGTACATTATTCAACACAAAATGTACATTATTCTAACTCATAATGTACTTCATTCTAACTCATAAAATTCAACGACGTCGTTTTGGACTGTGGCCCACACAATAATTTGCCATGTTAAAAGTTGCAGAGTAGAGTTGGCTATCATTACAAAAATGCCATTGTGTTTTTTTTTAAAAAAAATTGATCTGATCTGTTTCATTTTTTTAGATTTAAGGCAAAGATTGATTCTTAGGGGGTGTATTCAATTATGACTTTTGTAGATTTTTAAAAGTTTTAAAATGATAAATTTTAATAAACTTTTATTGACTTTCATAGAGTCGTTCAAAACTTTTTAAAACTCTATAAAAGTCTATATAAAAAACATTCATAAACTTTTATAAACTTTTTTATTTTAAAAAGTCTACAAAAGTTATTTAAATTCTAAATTGAATACATCCTTAGTTTTCTCCTGAAAGTGTATTTTTATTTGATCCAATACATCTATGTGTGTGTGTCTGTGTCACGATCAAATGCGAAGAATTGCTTAAGTAAAAAATAAGATTTAATCTCATCTATTGATCCAGTCGAATTCAAGGGTCTAGAATGAAGATAATTAAAAAAAATACGGTGACATTATGATAATTTTGTATAAGTTCATTTTTTTTCGGTGCATTTTTTCTTTCTTCTAATGCACATTTTTCATTTTTCGAGTGCATATTTTTGTGCATTGTTGCATTATAGTGCAAATTATTGTGCCTTACAGTCAACATTGTTGTGTCTTCCCATTTTGGACTAGTGCAAACTTCACGAACACATTTTGTTTTACGTTTTCATTCTCCTCATGCAAAGTTCGCTTATGTTTTGTGTTAAATCCTATATTGGTAAGAAATTAAAATTAGTAAATGCTATTAAGGTTGACATACTAGCAAGACATTGTTTATTATATCTTTTGCCTTGGATGATTGAACTTAGTCTTTTCAATAACTAAATTTCTAATGAAATTTGTGAGTTGGTCATATCAAAATGTACAAAGCATTTGTGATGGTGATTGTTATTATCTTTGTTGTACCATATGTGCATTTTATTATGCACCGGGCTAGGCGAATTTTCCATACGAGAGGGGGTTCGAACTCCCGACTTCCCTTAAAGAATGAGAGTATACGGCTACTCACGAGTCACGTCAATCAAGCCGGTTATATATTAATGGTGTTTACTTCTACTTTGTCATGCATTTATATAATGATAGGACCCCACCTAATAGGGCATCCTCAATAATTGGGGGTTTTCTTCATTTTTTGTGAACCCCAACATCCACCTCATCATCCATTATCTCACACAATCACAAAAATCCTTCTCCCCATTAGTTATAGATTTTTTCTCAATTTTTTGTGCATCCACCATTTTACTGAACTATATTTTAATTAATTAATTATTTATTTATTATTATAAAAATTATAATTACAATTATTATTTTTTATTATATTTAAATTAAACATGTCAAAGTTAAAATAAATTTATAATTATAAAATTTCAATTCTAAAAATATGGCATCAAAATTATATACTAAATTTAGTCATTTATATTGCATAAATTTTTGTTCAAAATTTAAAAATTTTATAACAAAATTAAAGCACAAAACTTAATTTTTTTTATTAAAAAAAAAAAAGAATAAGAAGAAGAAGAAGCTGGCCGTTGTACAACGGCCAACTTTAAAAAAAAATAAAAAAATAAAAGCCCTTCCTTTTTAGAGTGGCTGCCAACTGACGACCACTTTGAAACCTTTTTTTTTTTTTTTTTTTTTTTTTTTTTTTTTAAATTCTGACAAAATGTGGGGTGTTGTAGGAGAAAGATTTCTCTAAAAATCAACACCCTCATTTGTTAAAAACTCACTAGGCTAAATACCAAAAACTAAGAATATTGAGGATGCTATTAGATGATTGGTTGAGTACACTTATCGTGAGTCCCCAATATAGAGTAATTGAAGCTTTTGTAATTTTATATTTGTTGGCTAACTCAAATTTTTGAATTATGTTAGTTTTTTTACTTGAGTCAAATGTTATACTCAGATATAATTGTTGCAAAATACAAATTTGATACTAAATTCTCAAATTTTAAAGATTTGAATATAATTATTAATTTATTATGTATAATCAGATAAAATTTTCACAAGATACAAAAATTTAATACGGAGTATTAGATTATAAAAATTTAAAACTTTGAATATAATTATTCCATAAATGTTTAGAATTTTGAAAAAAAAAAAATACTTTTGATCCCTTAACTATTGTATATGTATCAAATTTGATTCTTAACTATTAATATTTTCAAATTAGGTGCATGAGTATGTAATTTGTGTTATATTTGGTTCTTGACCATTAATATTTTTAAATTAAGTGTATGACTATATAATTTGTATTATATTTGATCATGTTGTCCAATTTTTCGATCAACTATTGCCAGAATTTCAATGAGAAACATAATTTTTCTGACAATAGTTGGTCGAAAATATCGTTTTAATTAGAATATATTATTTTTCTTGTTGAAATTCCGACAATAATTAACCCGAAACTTAAATAAAAAATTAAATAACAAGACTAAAATGATACAAATTATATAGTCATGCACCTAATTTGAAATTATTTTTTAAAATTTTTATACTAACATGCCTTAAAAATGTCCGGTGCTTAATTAATTAATTAAAATTCACCAAAATGTCAAAATCAAGTACTCCGTAGTAATAATAATTAGTTTTTTTTGAAAACATAATTAGTTAATTACAGAGTAATAAATAATAAATTAAAAATATTAGTTACTGTTAAAAAAGAAAAAAAGAAAAAGAAACGGAAAACTCTTCTCCCTCGCAGTAGCACCTGTTCGAATTTCAAATTCTCTCTCATCCATTCAATTTCCATTTCCACTTCTCTAAATTCTCATACGCGAATGAAAAGCTTGTGAGTAATTTGTGGCGGCGTTTAGGGTTTTTTATTGCTCGGTTACAATCGGATAGCTTCGCTATGGTGTGGTCTTGGCCAGTTGTCGAAGGACGCGATAACTGCCTACCTCTCGTATCCGCTTTCAAGTTTCTCTCCGCGGCAGTGCTCTCGGCGGCGATGGGCTGTTTCTTCAGCTGTTTTCGTCTAGGCGGCGGCGGCGATCCTCCTACTACGCCTGATCGCTCTCGCTATCAACTCGTCTCTCAGCCTGCAAGTTCATTTCATTTTCTTCGTTTTCTTGCTCAATCTTCTTATTGCGTTATTCCAGAACACTAGAATCTGTTATATACTTATGCGCGCGTGTGTGTGTGTTTGTATGTATATGTTGTGATTTCTGGATGATCTAGACGAAAACTGATAGTAACTTCACAACAAACTGGATGATCTCTTTGGAATATCTTTTGAGTGTTGTTTTTCTTTGTTGTGCGATCAGGAAGCTGCAGTACCATGCAATTGGTGTAATTTGTCTTCATTATTTATTTCTGATGGTAACTCCTCCCCCTCTCCTATTTCCCTATCAAAGTGATAGAATTTGTCTAGTTCTCAGTATAATTATGTACTTCGTCGCAATCAAGCTGGATTTGAAATTTAATTAGTTTAGTAAATTTTATTGCTTGTCTCATTGATATACCAATTTAGAGAAAGAAGATCAATACGGTTTGGAGGCCAAGGGAGTGGAGAAACAGGACATTGGAACTCCTGAGCTTGAGTTGAATGTGACAGAGCTCAGGAACCAGGTTTGTACCCTGAAAATTTAATTCTTGTTCCTCCTGAGTTCATGACAGTTTAATTCAATTACACAGTTTTCCTTGTTTTATTTATTTATTTATTAGTTTTTTTTTTTTTTTTTTTTTTTTGTTTTTAAGAATTTTAAACTGTTTCTGTTGAGATACTGTTTTCATCTTAATTGATTAAAGTACTATCTTCATTGTGATTCTATATTTATCCCTGTTAGGATCAATCACTTACCATTACGCCAAAAACGGCATTTTATTTCCTGAGGCAGACTCAAACTCGTGACCTCACTTTGATACCACTTGTTAGGATCAAATGCTTAGCTAAAAGCTATAGCTCTATATACTGCCACATTGGTAGGGTGTTGGACTTGGCCCTTCATCGGCTTCCGCCCAACAATTCCCGTTTCTATTTCCTGTTACCTCTAGTCTTGGATTTCCATGTCAGTGTGGTCAGTTTTTAATTATTTTGGAGGATACATCTATTGTTCTCATGTTCAAAAATTTGTTTTTAAGCTGGGTAAGTCAAGGTTAAACTGAAGGGTTCAGAGTTCAGGGTAAAATGAACAGTTTGGGTAAGATACAGACTTTCTAAGTTCTGAATTTTGCAATATAAAATACATAGTAGCCATAGAAAAGGTGTCGAATGTTCATGATTTGTGTTTAACTTTCATAGTTTACTTGTGTAATAGCTGCATTTTGTTGAATTTACTGACCCTATTATGATTGCCAGTTCGCATGGTATAATTCCTTCATCTGGAAACTGTTTGAAATAACTAATGTGCGACTTGCATGCTCTAGTATATTCATTTTAATATATGTTAACTATGTGCTCTTAGTAATGTAATTAATGGTTTGTTTATTTTGGTGCCTTAGTGTAATTTTGCAGCACAAAGTAGGAAGGACATGCTTGGAGTATGTGAATGTCTAAAGGAACTTAAAAAACAACCAAGAAGGGAACATTGTCAAGTACAAGAAACATTAATTACTTAAGTTGAATATAGTTGACTGAACATTATAGTACCTGAGTGGTCTATACATACGTGTCTCAGGCACATTAGTATAACATGTTATTAGTATCCCCTTTAAGCAACTTATCTAGAAGTCTGATGTTGTAATCTCATCCAAGGGCTACTTTGAAATTACTGAACTATGTTTCTAAGTATCCTATACAAGAACTAATGTGAAAAAGGACCTTGAATAGTCCCATGTCATCTATTTATTTTGACTGGTTTTATTCTGCAGGCCAAATTCCTCAAAGCTTGTGGAACCTTACAAGAAGCCCCTTCTGAAATTCAAAAACTCTCAAAGGAATGTGAAGATTCATCAGCTCTGAAGGTTGTATCTCCAAATTCTGGCTCTTGGCTCCCTAACTCATCTATTGAGAATCAAAACCTGGTTGAAAAGCCTGATCAACCTCTGACACCTCCCAAAAATTGTAAAGAAGTAATGGAGGGTTCAGATTCTTCTGTCGTTACTCCTAGCAGGTAGCATTCTGATCCTACAGTCCTTACTAGCTCTAGTCTACATTTGAAAGTGCACGTATATTTTCTATGAAGTGCCCACTTTTCAGATTTCTTCATGTTTGAAGTACCCTTTAATCTTGCTGTCCTGCATGTGAGTCAAATGTCCAGAACTGAATAGTTGCTTTCCAAATTTATTTTTATACCCTCATGTTCTGCCAGAAACTATGGAAATACTAATCCTTGTTTTCCTTTACTATTACAGTTTGACATGTGCCTGTTATGTTTGTGTTCAGAACTGAGTCTTTATGTTTATCAAAATTTATTGCACAAGATTCTGAATATGTGTTTGTATGTTATTGTAGCTATATGGAAAATGGAGAAAAGAGTATTGGCTCCAGAAATGGCAGTGTGTCTAGGAACACTCCATCCATTGGGATCAATGCCAATAAGGCTCATGGTGATACTGTTTCATCAGTTTCACCTGCAATTCTTCCGAGTTCTACACACATAAATAAATCTGTTCGTTTTGAGTTAGAGTCATATCCTACAACGTCGGCGGCGAAGACATTTTCATCCAGATTTGCTAGTCTGAAATCCCAGCATTCACCCTACCCAACCCCATTGAAACTAACCAATGAGATGCAAACACCTGGCACTGTTTTCCCATCATATGTAAATAATAACGTGGCAAATGGAAAACATCCTCGAGTCAGGTATCAGTATGTGGTTTCTACCTCAAACCGTGAGTTGAAGGAATTGATGGATGAAGATTCTACTTCCATTCAAGACTCTACTTCTATCCTCTTGCCCAGTGATATGGGGAAATCTCTTGAACATCCTAATGAAACAAACCTTAACTCAGAGATGGTACTGAGAGAAACCGTGGCCAATAAGGAATTGGAGTTGGAAGCAAGTTTGTCTTCCTCGCTGAATCCATCTCTCAACCAAGTAGATAGTAATCTACATTTTGTTGAAAGTGTTCATTCCGGTAGAACTCCAGGTGACAGGCCTATCCTTGGGATGGTTGCTGCTCACTGGCATGATCACGATACTTCTCATATCTCGCCTAAATGGTGGAATGGAAACGGAATTCCAAATACCACTACTAAGTACAAAGAGGTTTGCCATGCTTTATTATTTAAGTAGTTTGTTTGCTTTGGAGTACTATTTTGTTTCCTGTTTTCTTCTTGAAAACCAGTAACTTGAATCTGTTGATGTTGCAGGATCAAAAAGTTAGTTGGCATGCAACACCATTTGTGGAGAGATTGGAGAAGGCTTTGTCTGATGAAACGTTTGTCTCACAGAGGTATGTCATGTTCCCATCTGTCACTTCATGAAACTGTAAGAAGATACTAATAAAAAAGAAGTGAATGATATATAATTGCTTCAAATTTTAAATATCAAACGGCATGGAGTTAGATCTGATACCAAAATATGCGCTTCATCTAAACTAAAAGTATAAACTGATAGTTGAACTGCATATTTATGTTTATATATTATACATTCAACATTGAGAAAATGGGTCTTAGAACAGTATATGTGGATATGTTGCAGGAAGCAAATCAGTTGTCCAGCGCCAATCAGTTTTAACGAAAATGAAGGCTCATTTGCTCTATGACCTCGGAAGCTACTCCATCTATACATTTCAAGTCACTATGTTAAATTGTTTGATGATACATTCTCTGATAATAGATTTCTCATTTTCCTTTTAAAAATATCTTCAATTCTTTCATGATTCTTATACATATTAGGACTCATAATTCTGTTCGCAGTGTAATAATGTAAATTTTTTGCACAGTAGCTCTTTGACTAGTCATTTTGCGCCTTTGTTTTGCCTTGATTCTAATTGGGTAGTAAAAATTGATCTATTGTGTTATAATTGATTCACTGTTTAATGAATCTTTTAATTTAACAAATTGATAACGTATCTTGACTAACACAATGAATATTAATGAATTTGATTTATAACTTCAATGAATCGTTGCTAAAGGCCAATGGGGGGCAAAGTAAGGTTATTCTATTTTGGATCGGCTCAAAGTAAAAAAATTTATTACTAAAACCTCAATTTTACTATTCTCCTATCAGTGGGATATCGGACATGATACTTTGCAGCGTCATTGAATGCAATATTTCACTCCCTATTTCTATAGTATAGGTCCCGTTCATGTGAGAATATCTATTTAATGTGAGAACATACAGATTTTGCAGTAATGTACGGTAAGTTCTTCATAAATACACAATAACTACTCCAGTTCTGTAACTACTACATAAATGTACTGAAATTATTACATGAATGCACAAAATTACTATAAGAATGCATCGTGCATTTATGTAGTATTCACAGGACTATAGTTATTGTGCATTCATGTAGAACATACCATGTATTACTGAAGAAGCACATGTATTCTCACGTTAAGAGATGTTCGCACCTAAAAATAAATAAAGGAAAAATTGTAATTTATACCCCTCCATAATATGACAATTATCAATGTCACTCCTCCTGAATTATTAGTGGTGTAAATATTATCCTGAATTATCAAAGAGGTACATATATTGCCCCTGTCGTACCGTACGGGAGGAAATCTGAGGATAACATTTACACTGCGGTAGTGGCAATATATGTATCTTTTTAAAAATTGAGGGGCAATATTTACACCACTATTAATTTTTCCAAGAGGTTAATCCTCAACTCTAAGGTTCTACAAGGGATTTGTCCATTTTATGCCGCTGTTGAATTTTGAACATTTGTCCTTTTTCTCAAATATTGTCTACTAAACTATTGAGTTAAGCTCGTGCAAGCAAACAAAAAAAAATAAGAATTATTCTAACAATGATATATATGATTTTTTTCAAGATATGACAATGTAAGACATTCCAACATGACATTGGGATTGCTCTTTTGATTCAAGAATGAGCCCTGATTATGAACTCAACAAAGTTTTGTTTAAATGTCATTGTGAAAGTGTCATTCCCTGAATGACATTGCATCAAATTACAATTTAAAATATACACATTATACAATAACCGTTAATATTTGAGTTTATGGCAATATTTAAAATTACAAATCAGTATAACATATTTCAACTATTATATTATTTAAGAGGTAATCTGAACGGTGTCAAGTGTGATTGAATGGAAGAGGTTCATCTATCCTTAACCAAACGTCAAGAAATTGATATTTGACTTTGGGTATAGAGCAGTCTTAAATCTGTAGGCTAACTCTCCGAATGTTTAGAGATCATTGTGGGTTATACATACAGTATTAAGTGTTCAATATAAAAGTATAAAAGATAAGACAATGAAAGTTCAGTGTGTAGCATCCATGACTCTGCAAGTCCTGGGCTTCACCTTCAGCTTGGTTGTCATCTCACTCTCATTCACTCCTAACCACACTTTAAGTAGCTCAAATACGTTTTCATCACTTAATATTTCTCGGTGCCCACAACATACTCCCACTCTTTCCACTGCTTCAAAATGATCAGCCTACACAATTTTTTTTTTTCAAAAAATCAAAATTAAAATTAATTCAACCATTTTGGAAGAGTAATCAAAATAATCTATCTTGTAATTTATTTATTTTTTGAAACACGGTAATATCTATTCTATACTTTCTCAAATTTTTTCAGTCCTAAGAATCAATGCCCTCACCACTAAGAGCACCCTTAATAGGGTTTTAGCTCTGTTTTTTTATGAAGAAAAAATCAAGGTATGAATTTTTACACAAATGGAAAACTTGTTTTTTTTTTTTTTTTGGTTCTTTCTCTTGCCTTTGTGCACGTATGGCGCACATTCAGCGTCCAGTCGTGCACGCGCCCAACTGGGCATGTTTCTTTGTATTTTTTTAAATTTTACTTTTCAGTTTTTTTTTTCCATCTCTCTTATCTTCTCTCTCCTAGTTTGCACCTAAAAAAAAAAACTATTGCTATTGAGGTTGCTCTAAGGTTCGATTTTATGACTATTCATTTGGAATGATAATAGAGGTGTCATCAAATTATATAGCAATTGGCAATCTATCTTGTATTCTAATTTCTCTACAAGCACGCATTTGTCAATATTAGCGTGGTTAGAATAGTCCATGTTTCAATTGCTACAATTGCGAGCTCGAGGTAAGGATTTTATGTGAGTGGGTTGATCCGTGAACTTTGACTCACTTTGACACCTCTACTTTTTAGGCACTATAAATGATCGGACTACAAAGTTAGTCGAAAGGAAAAAAGAATGATACCTTGGCTGATTGAGCTGGAACAGTTCCATCACCATCCACATAGGAGTATTCAGGCTATAACACATCAAAGTATAGTCAAATAAGTAGACTATATATCATTAGAAATTGTTAAATTGTTAGGATCAAACGCTTACCGTTGTATGGCAGATTTCAGACAAATCCTCGATTGGTTCAGTTTCTGAACCATAACTGCAAAGAAGACAAGCAGGCATAAAAACAATTAGTACAACACTATTTTCATGTTTGTTTTCATTTGTACTTAGTACTATATATATGTCATAAAAACATCTAAGCATTTGGTTAGTCACATACCAAACATCAAAAGGGGTGTCAAAAGATGTTCCATAGATGTTATAGAAAGAAATTCCCTTTGGTAATTGAGCATTGTTGACAATTTGGCGAGTATCAGACGCCCATTTCAGAATTGAGAGGTTGAAAGGAAGAGATACTGTTTCCCCATTATGCTCCACCTGGTGGGAACATACATGTCAGAATTAACTGCTTACTACTATGCCAAAAGTTATAACTCGTATGGGAGGAGCAACTTTATTTCCTTATACTGTTACATTTTCGAGAGGCAGGGTGCTAGATGAGGGATTGTTGGACAGAGGCTGGTGAAGGGCCAAGTCCAGCACCCTACCTCTCGAAAATGTGACAGTATATAAGGAAAAAAAGTTGTGCCTTTAATATTAGCTAATGATAAGCGTTTGATCCTAACAAGTGATATTAGAGCCTGATCACGAATATATAAGGAAATAAAATTGCGCCTTCCCTACCAGCTATACGTTTTAGGTTACTGGCAAGCGCTTGATCTAACATATCTTTTAGTCGTTACATAATACACCAACTTTACAAAGTAACATAAACAAAAAAATGTTGGTTCATAGATGGTGTAGGGTAATACCTCATTATCCTTTAATGCCTCTTCAAACACAATCAAACTTTCTTTAGGACCATAAGATTCCAGCTCAATAACAGTATCCCCATCTCCATCTCCGTCCTCATCAATAGTTTTTTTTCGCCACACCCGAATTTCAGGTTGCTTTTGCCACTTGAAGTCGGGGTTTGCTAGCATCTCATACACCGATGGACATTCAACCAACTAAGCATCATAACGAAATTGGATCAATCTATCATACTTAGAACATACGATAAAGCTAGTGAGACATAGTTCCTTTACATGACTTTACCAGTTGATGAATCGTCCAGCGTGACACAAAAAAGTAGCTCTCAAAGCCTTCGACGAACTGCACTCCAGTTAACAGCGAATCGTTGATGTATCCAGGCGCACCTGTTTGCACATTTCATATATAATTCAAAAGTCCCAACAATAAAGATGGAGGGGTCTTTGTATATATAGATTAACTAAGGCAATTGATCACCTTGGAAGGGGCAGGCTATGGCAATCCACTTGTTGACATACTTGGAAAACGCCTGTAGTTGAACGATATAACTATTGGTTAGTCTTCTGGCTGGGACTCAAGCCTCGCTCTAACCTAGCTCTGATACCAATTGTTAGGATAAGTACTTATCACTACGCCAAAAACTATAACCAATAGCCAGCGTAGTACTAAGCGATTGACCTTAACAAGTGACATCAAAGCCAGGTCGCTAATAGAAAGGTTCCAAAGACTCAAAAAGGAAATCTTGCATACATTAGTATAAAGAGACATAAAACAGGTAACCAGCAATCCCCCCATTGAGTGTGAAATTATATTCACTTTTCTTGAACCAGAGGCTTCATATGCAGCCTCCAGTTTTTCTTTCAGGCCATTCAACACTTGATCAATCCTGCAACCACAACGTCTATCGATTAAGATCACTCCATTCTTCTCCTCGGCAAAACGCTATAGAACAGAAACGAGTTAAGAGCGGGCAAACAATATATCTGGTTTCCAGCTTACGCTAGATTAATCTTAAGCCCCTAGAACCTCTGCTCAAGAGTAATTGGAGGGCAAAGAGATATTTACCTATTGCTTTGCCGGAAATCGTAACCATATCCAAACAATGTAGTTCCTTTTTCATACCCACATCCAACGAGCATATCAATCATTTCGTGAAAATGGTATACATCCGATAAGTGTATGCACTTTGCGAACTGCAAATGAAAAATGGAACAAAGTGAACATCCTATATACCCATTGTGCACACAAATATCTTAAGAATATTAATGTGTTTTACTTTATCAACCCAAAGATCATAATTGAACAAAGCATAGGCATTCCCCTTCCAAGGGGTGATATATGATTTACTTCTGGCTGTTGCCTATGCTTGAATGAATGCATCAACAACACCAGAATTATAGTAATGGTTTAGGAAATTTTGGGTTCTGTAGTGTTATTAGATACACCTTGTTGGATAGGTATTTAGGTTGTAATAGATAAATAATATGAAAAATTGCATTTTTGATCCTTTAGTTATATTTATGGTACAGATTTATTAGTCTCTAAAATATGCAACCATATTTAACCTCTAAGTCATGCATTTATGCGTGAAGTGACGATTTTAGTTCCTTAAAAACTATTTCCATCACCGACATGCTACTTAATAAAATGACAGATTTGATTTTTCGC